TACTACTACTACTACTACTACTACTACTACTACTACTACTACTACTAGCTACTACTACTACTAGCTACTACTACTCCTACTACTACTACTGCTACTACTACTGCTACTACTACTGCCACTACTACTGCTACTACTACTACTACTACGTGCTACTACTACTGCTGCTACTACTACTGCTGCTACTACTACTACTGGCAAAAGTACATGTTGGCTGGTTGATTTGGGGGGGGGTCATAAAAACAACGACCCTATAAGACACTATTCTTCACCTTAGAAGGGGGCCCGGAACTACGGCATGTTTCTTGGGACGTTGCATAGTGTTTCGGAAGCCTGCTCGCAGGTCAACATCAGGAAGGCCAGCAGTATCATATAGCAGTATAATGTCAATATAGTGTTTCTCCTGGCTGTATTGTTCGTCCTGTCACCCCCTGTGCATGATTCTTACCCTAGGGATGTTGGAAGGAAAGATTGAACAGGAGGGCAGAATCAACTCTGAAGGTGTTCGATCACCTCCAGCACCTGCACCTGGCCCCTCGCCATACACTCGCCGAGCAGGTGAGGTCCTGCCTGGTGAGGTCCTGCCGGGTGGCCGCGGCGATGATTGCGGACATCGACTACACATTTTGGGCAGTTGTCTCCTCGAGAGGCCATCGGGCTGGCAAGCCGGATGAACATTGTGCGAAGGCCATATGGCCATATTTGGAGGGAGCTTTCTTGATGAGAGGCAAACGACTTTGGGAGACAAGAAAGCTGGCAAGGCGATCAACACTTGCTTTCCCTGTTTGTTTGAAGGTGCGCTGACATAGCAGGTAGGTTGTTAACTTTAGCTAGTTCATGCTTTTGAATGTTTCAGACTGCTGCACACGTCAATGTCAATGCGGATTTTTGTACCTCTAGGCAGACAAGCGGCGCAACGCCCATTGGCGCAAAGAACCAGTGGCAAGCCACATGTCTTCATTCTTGTGCCAATATTGATATTGGGCAGATCACAATTTGGCTCTCAAAAGATGCGAGCCAGCCTTCGCATTTTGATTGACGGTGATGCGGTCTTTCAAGAAGCGCCAGCACCGATCAATTGTTTGCGTTCCGGCTTTGACTCGAATCTTTTTGTCGGGGCCAGGGAGCTTGTGCTCTACCACCTTGACGTATCGTGGATGGAGCCATTTCCAAACACCCCGTACCTTCACGCGTTTATGCAACACCTGTAGTGAAAGACACAGTCATGCAACACACCTTCCACACGCATACGAGTTGCCTTCACTCCTTTCTTTCAACCTCGTGGGCTGTGAAGAAAGCTTTCCAGTCTCTCTTGGGGCGGCTTCCGGGGCATCATGTCCACTGGAGCTCCTGTGAGCCGCTGGGAGAACAAGCAAAGCACTTCATCTCCGCAAGACCTGCCATCTCCCGCGTCAGACCTGGGCACTCACAAGCGCGCTCCAGCGGACTCTCATCACCGGGTGCAACAGGACTGGGCACACCAGGGCAGTCCTCCTCGGAAGATGTCTCAGACGAAGAATCGCTGCTGCCATCAGACGTACTCTCTCACGATGACGATGCGGGCGCCACGTCTGTCAAAGCAAGAACCTCGAATGCGAGAGTTGTGTGCGCGCGTGCGTGAAAGATGTGTATGTGAGGGGTAACTGTCAAGAAGTTTCTCTGACCATACACTCACAAATTCAACGGACATACAAATTGCAAGCACATATGAAGAAACTTGTTCGGGAGCTGCCAGGGCCTTGGCTTTCGCCTTCGGTGCCCGGTTCACTTTTTTCGGTCGAGCCAAGATCTCGAGGAAGCGACGTTCGGCCGTTGCAGACCGAGATCCGACAAGCCCCGCTGGTGCCAAACCTAACCCCTTCTGAATGTTGCAGACAATGAGGCAACAAGTTTTTCTCAGAAGGGGTAGGCAGCAGGCGTGACCGGTACATCTCCTTCCAAAGCTCGGTTCAGAAGACGTTGGAGGTCGGAAGCATTGGCTTGGCTGGGTTCCGCTAAAGACAATGTCACCACAGCCTGGCTGCTGCTGAGCACAACACTGCCGGAGACTGGCATGGACATGATGCAGAAAGCGGTAACTGCGGACAGGACGGCGTACCAACAGGACGTCTCACATGCATTCACGGACAATCGGCCTGCAGTCCGCCAACCAATGCTGTTACCTAGTCCTGCTGTGCCACAGTGCCAAGCTGACATTGCTCTGAAATAGTGGCATGTCAAATCTGTGTCAAGTCTGAGCCAAGTCTGACTACAAACCAAAGGGATTCTAAGATTCTAAAAGTTCTAGAAACTGTTCTTAGAATCCCTCCAAAATCTTAGAGTCGAAATGGATTCTAAGATTCGAAGATTTATAGAAACTGTTCTTAGAATCCCTCCAAAATCTTAGAACCCAAAGGAGGTTCAAAGATTTTGGAGGGATTCTAAGACAAGTTTCTAGAAATATTAGAATCTTAGAATCCCTTTGGTTTGTAGTCAGACTTGGCTCTAGAAATCTTTCAATCTTATGAACAAAACAGCATGTAAAAAAAAAAAAAAACAACATGAAAAAACAAACCTGTAAATACCAGCAAAATCTTGGAAAAGGTAGGTCTTGGAGGGGTACCATATTTAAAAATATATATATATATATCATATCATCATATGTAAATATATGTATATACATATACACCTTGTTGAAGACTTGATATTATACTACACATTACTAAACTTACATTACCACCCCTGCTGTATGTGCAGGATTCCTTGCACACCCGCATCTAATCTCTGCCCAGGATCATGCACCACCTGACGCCTGACACAACACACACACGCAAATGTATATAATATATATGTCTCGAGTTGCTTGGCATTCTCAGGAGGCTATCAACTGAATGTGAATAGATGAGACATGCCTCACTCCGAATAGTCAGCAGCTTTCTGCGGGACCTTTCACAGACCCACACCATCCCACGCCCACTTCTCTTGATTCCAAGACTCCTCCACTCATTCCCCCCCCTCCCAAGGCTCTGCGGCTGCCACGCATGCCCCGGGTGGAGCAGGCCGTGGCGGCCTTGTAAAAGTGCTTTGATGTGCTGGATAAGTCGTGCGACTTCTGCATGAGCGAATCCAAGCTTTCTCCGCGCAGCTGGATAGCATTGATGTTGTTGGTCACCTGGTCCTCAAGAACGGCGGATGGCAAACACCGTGTGCTCACCAGTGCGAAAAGAGAGTAGCCAAAGTCACATGGAAGCCGTGCAAAACAAGGGGGTCAAATGTCTCATACCCCTCTGCTTTACCAACGAGTTTTGCTACACTATGCTGGACACAAATTTAAATGTTGGATCGTTTGTTCGTTGTCTGATCAGTGCGCTTGTCATTGAATTGTCGTGTTATTTCGTTGCGTCTTCATGTCTAGTCTGTGTTGCTAGCAAATCCGCAGCGGGATACCGAGCTTCATGTCCAACCAGCAAGGGAAATCCCGTCCAAAGGCTGCCGGGAATGCACGTGGAATGCACAGGGCCCTAGTCAACTGTTAGGTTAACTACTGCTTTTGCAGCTGTTGCTTTAAGGCTGTGGCACTGCCAGGGCCTAGCCTCTATATCATCAGCAACTTCTTCCACATCCTTTTCAAGGGATCTTACAGCCGTGCAATCGGATTGATAGACCCCAGAGCGGAGCCCCAACCCAGTCGGCAGTTGCAAGTAAGGCCCGGGCATGTCCGCCTTTTTCCAGGGTATTTTCGCGCCAGGTTTTCCCGACCGTCTGCACACAAAACCTTCAAAGCCAAGAAACACATAGAACGGTAGCCTGATTTGCATATGGAGGCGGAAGCTTAATTAAGTCGCCATTCCTTTTGTTTCTCATGGGTGACCGTTCTAATTAAGAATTATTGATGCAAACACCTAAGAACTTATTTAAAACACCTGTAGATGCCCCTAGAACATATAGTTGTTGTGTCACATTCCTGAAAGAGAAAATTTGCAGCAACAAAAGTTGTTTCACAGCAAAAAAAAGTTCTTTCTGCCTCAGGGCGGGAAGAGCCGCTCTTCCCGAGAAGAGGGATTAATCTTTGGCACAAGGATCTTCTAGGTATTGCAAACAGCGGCTTGCTTGTCAAGCATTGGTCGAGCTCGCTCTCTCTCTCTCTCTCTCGTTCGTCTCTCTCAAACTGATCTCTTCCCTTTAGCCTTTAGCTCCATGTGGTCAAAAAATGTCAAAAAGGCAAACGGCATGGCCACCCCTCCTAACTGAAACGCCTTTCGTGACCCGGAAATCAGGTCACGTAAGGGGATCCAGAGGTTGCCTGAGGCCACCTTTCGTGACATGAACATGTCCTCGAGTCCTCGAAGATTTCTGGAGCTTTGGAGGCTAACCGATGTTCATGTCCTTCACTGGGTTGGGCTTGCTGGCCATGTTGTTTTCAGTTTCCTTCGGCCCAGACTACGAGAAAGTCACCTCGTGGTCGTTACGTTCCCAGTTTGGGAGGGAGTGCAAGGCTGCCTTGAGCAGATGTGAGTGGCTTAGGTGCAGGTTTGAACTACCATGACTCTTTCGTCACCTTGTTGTAGCATTGTAGCATAAATATATAAAGAGTGGGACCCTATTCATTGCTCCTCAGTCGAAGACTACAGGTAGAGCTCTTTTGGCCATGCCCCACGAAGTCTCCTTCGCGACGCTGATGTCTTGTCCAGTGGAGGGAGCTTTGTGCTTCTTTGTTCAACGGTCGAAGCAAGTCGACATGGGCAACTCCAATGCAGGATAAAGCAAGGCAGCAGGGAGCAGGGCAGCAGGGCATCACTACTAGTAGCTATACATAGACTACTAGTAGAAATGCCCTACTAGTAGCAATGCCCTTGTTACTAGTAGCTTCTTGTTCGTAGTGTCTAAGCGCACCTTGGGATCTGTCATATCCGTTCTCCCGCATCGTTCGCTCTACACGGAGGTGGATGGCATGGCCCCGTGGATGAGCATTTTCCGACCAAACAGGTGGGAGTGCAAGAGATCATAGACGAGGGAATTCCAAATTCGACACGAATCCAATATATAAGCTGAACATGGAACTACTGTGGGGAGCATCTACCAATCTACCTTTTTCATCCTGTTTCTGGGGGAACTCAAGCCCCTCTTTGTCTGCTCCGCTTCTTCCGTTTGCAGTTCCAAGTGTCCTTGACACGCTGCATCTCCTGGCCGGTGGGTGCCAAAGCCAGAGGTGGCACGTTGCGGTTTCTGACACGCCGCGGTTGAACCCACCAGAAAAATGCTTCATTGGGAGTCGTCATCGGAAAGGGTTCATCATTCATCAAGTCAGACAAACTGACACCACCAACCTGCCTTGACTTTGGGCTCCTGCTGTGGATGATCGTTCACTGTGGTTCCTTACAAACTTCGGGGTGCTGCAGCAACATCCAGCGTTGATATATGGGTGAAATCCATACCTCCTTGGGATTGCTCCACCGTGCACCATGAAGAGCTCAGAAACTGAAATTCCTGCTGATTGAAACTCAGATCCATTCACTTTAATGTTACATCCTGATTAGTATAATGGGACGGAATTATAAAAAGCGTTCGCCAAATTATTCACATTAGTTTAATGGGACGGAATAACTTTAAAAAAATCACCCAGGGTGTTTTTGTTTGGCTTTGTTTACTGTTCTATTGTTCTGCTATTGCTCCCCCTTTGAAATCCTTAACTCTCCTGAGGTTTGCTTGATTCATGGAATTCTGACCTGGAAATCGTTTTCGAATCTGAATTATCCTTGACTCAGACTTATTCTCACCTCTCCAGTTCTCTCGTGCCATCTTCAACCCCCGGTCTCCACCGGAAACACCCGGTCGCCAATCTGACTGACGGTCACCCCAGCGCATCTCCTCCGAGATCTTCTGCTTCTTCAGCTGTTCGGCTTGTTTCAACTCCTCCTCTGCCTTGCGCACCTGGAGCTCCTGCACCTTTTCGCCCTCAATCATCGATGTCCTCAACAGCGAATACTCGCGACGACTAAATATCTGGTGGTTGAAACAGTCCACCACCTGAGATATGCCACAAGTTGTCACAAGTATATAAGTATGCTGCACGCGTGCCTCCAAGTGCAGGCGTTTTTACCACCCACCCAACATAGTCCAAACAAGTTGCAAGTTCGTCCATCCACTACAAGTAGCCCATTAAACAGGGGCAACACGCGCATCCTCTTGGGGTATTCTTTGAAAGAATGGTGTTGCTCCCAGAACGACCAAGCGTCATTTCTTTCACCTGCGCCTGAACGACTTCCAGCCGCTTGCACGGTGTGGCGGCCTCTTGGGGCTGTAGCAGGTCGGGCGAGAAGGAGAGCAAGTCGCTGGGAATTTGGAACTTCACGAAGAGCTGCAAGATCTCCTCCGTCGCTGCATCGCTGGGCCCCAGAAGATCCGAAGAAAAACCCGAAGAAACACAACTGTGGCGGATTGACATCGGTCCGGTGCCAACGAGTGCCTGTGAGCCTCACTATGTCTTGTGCACAGGTGGGAAATTTAATGATATATATATATATGTATTTATATATATAACTACATACATATATATATATGTACATGTATAGCTAGACTTAGACCACCAAAAAAATGACATACGTACCGGTTTGTGCTGTAGAAGGGTGGTGCAATCTTGCTGTGTGCCAAAGAGAAAGCTGTTATTGTGCCAGAGGATTCAATGCGGATACAGCTGCAATTTCCAGACAATAATTTTGAAGATCTATCGACGGTATGAGCACTGGCAGGATTCTCATGACGCAAACGTTTGACCGCCTTTACCCCGCGCAGCACTCATCCCATTGATTTGGAAAAGTGCCAAGCACACGAAGTGCCAGATGCAGTACACACAGATCAGAGTTTCTGTGCCAGCACTCACAGTGAGCACTCCGGACTTTTGACCGCAAACAAATAACCAACCCGGCAATGCTGATTCAGCTGGACTCTTTCTTTGAGGAAGGGGGGAAAAGAGGTCAATGAGGAGGGTCAGCCCGCCTTTGGTCTCGAATTTGCGACCAGTCTTTGGGTCCTGAATTTACACTCCCTGGAACTAATATGGAAGTGGAGAATGGCCCCTTGGAAGACCATTTTCCACTACAAATAGGTGGGTTTCCACTTCCATGTTAATTCCAGGGAGAGTCATCTTATTATGGGTGTAACTTTGTAAGCAAGAGAGTGATCTTCATCGAGGCCATGACCGACAATTCTTCGTGCAGAGCACGGAGAGGCTTGGGGTTGGCCGTCTGAAGCAAACACTCGATACCTTTGGATGCAGTTGGAGGTGAAGAAGGAGAACTTGAAGATGGATGGCATCCCGCCCTTTGGAACCTTTGAGACTTGGGCACGAAGCGATGTTTTCCGCGCCAGAGGAGAGAGTTCCTGATGTACCTGATTGGAGTAGGTTGGAGTGATAGAGATGAAGGTTGATGGAAAGGAGGAGATGTTCAGCCATATTGGTGAAGAAACCTTCCAAGAGGAGCTTGCAAAGAAGACATTGGCAAGACAAATGAAGGAAGTGAAGAAGCAAATGATCCAGGTGGTGACCGAAGAGTGCAATGGATGCAGCTACAAGTTCCCAAAGAGCATGGTGAAGATTGTAATTTTGCTCTTACTACAACCTGGAGCCCTTAGATTACCAAATGGACCTGGTGGTGAAGAGAACTACACCCAGGAGAACATGGAGGAGAACGGTGGTGACAGCTCTTGGAACTACATCAAGGTGTTCTTGCTGTACACGTTCCTTGTGCTCTTTGGCATGTATGGGTGTCAAGACTTGTCAAGACTCCTACATGCACATGGAAAGACATGTCACGACTCGGCCCAGAGTGGTGGGGCGCGTCGTCCTCTTTTTTTCACGTTTCTTGGCACGGGATAGATCATCTTCCAGGCCCACGGGAGAGAAGTGCCGGTGATGGATGTCTACTCTGCGTTGGCACTGATTGGAATGCACTGATTGGAATCCTTCAAGGTAACTAGACCGTCCTTCAGTCTGAAACCTACGCAAGTATGATCCAATAAAAAGTTTGGTCTGTGCAAATTGATACTGACAATCCTCGAGTGAGTCCTATCAGTTGCGAGGACAGTCCAGGCAGTCCTACGCCCATCCACTCCCGAAGACGGAGACTGTGAAACCGAACCCTGAACTGAAGCCCAGTCACCCACAAGATGGTTCAAACGAAGAGGGAAGTGATAAGGGCTTTTAGTGTTCAACTTTACCCTTGTGAAGGGTCATCTACATTGTCCATGGAAAGCGCAGCGCCAAAAAGAAAAAGCTGCAGCTCCTGCGTCAGTTTGATCTCTTTGGTGAGGCTATCAACCGGCAAGTTGAGAAGTTGCTCCAGCTGCGGCTTGATCTGCACAACCACAATTCCTGACTCCACTCACTCTGGCTGAACCCGGAAAATGAACGTCACAAAAAACATCATATAGCTACTGTCCTATGGGTTCCTCGCTTGGAGTGACCTCATCTACTCTATGTATATATATATATATCCTTGTGTATATATATATATCCTTATATGATCTTATATGTCCTTTTGTTTGAGGCAGAGCTATCCGTCTGCAGTGTTTTGGCTTTGACTATAAGTGTGTCAACTAGGGGGTCATAGTTGATATCGCTTCGGAGGCCAACCTGCAATGGGGATTGACTTGGGCTGGAGGTCGAGAGACCCGGACTGGCTGGCCAGAACACGATGTTCGCCTCCACGGGCCCTTCGTCTTCTCATCCAGTTCCCTGCGCTTCACTGCAGGCTGAGAGTCCGAACAAGGTGCTCTCCAACTGCATGGCACGGAAGGCCTTGGCGAAGGCTTGCTGCTCTGGGGACAGAGACTCGATGGCGTCCTGGCCGAGTGGCGGGAGGGGCGGATGGTCCACAAGGTGCCCATGATTTGCAGATTGGGGGTTGTGCCATCCACTCCGAAACCACGGCCTATCTATCCAGCTGAAGAGCTGGGACCTCACTGAAAAGAATGAAAGAGATCACCGAAAATTCTGGTGAACAGTTGGGTTCATACCCTAAAGCCATCAGAAATCCCGCAAGAATCGGAGCTCTCCTGAACATCGGGTTCCGAATGCACCGCCCCAAAACGCACTCACCCTCCCAGCTGCCTTCTGCACCCTTTCTTCCAAGATCTAACCTGGTAATCCATGTTCTCCCACTTCTCCGACTCAACCGGGTCGATCGCACCATGTTCTCAGGCGGTGCGCCGGGTGCGACGGGTCCGGAAAACCGTCGACCGCGCGGGCCTTGAACTCCTGCGGTGTGGGGATCGTCGACAAATCCAGAGGAATCTCCAGTTCGTCCTGGCGAACTCACGAGGCGACCCGGACAGTTCAGTCAGACACATGACACAAACCTTTTTACATCTCAGTGGATGAACTCAGGATATCTCAGGTATGGCTCGCCATGCCACGAAGTGGCCGTGATTTCAGGACTTGAGGCTTGCATCTCCCTAGCTTTGGAGAGATATTGAAAGACAAATAGAATAAACAAATACAAACATGGCGATACGTAGCGACGAATCTGCTGGATGATTGGTTGCTGTTGATGCGGAGTAATTTTGATTGACGTTGACCAAGAACATGTTCGCTTTCGTTTAGCAGCTTGTGCCGGTGGCCGCATCACCATCAAAAAGTTGGCAGATTCCAGACTATCGACCTGGAGCTTGGATGAGGAGTCCATCTCTCATTCTTGTTCTCAGAGCAATTTATGATGTCCTCGAACAAAGTCCCTCCATATGGACACCCAGTGCAGTGCACTACTCTCATTTGGAGGTCCAAAAGGGGTGCCGCTTACAACTTCGAGGGTATAAACCCTAGAGGAATGGAAACCACCCAGGAAATACCCAGATGTCACCAATCCATTCCTAAGTTGATAATACTGTATTTAGATGTAATGAGATGACTAGTTAGATGTAACTAGTAATGGAGCGATGTTAGGGGGGCTGCAGCTTTGCTAAGAAGCTGGGACACTAGGCCGACGTGAGTTTCCTCGGGGTTCCACTGGGCTGACATGGGCTCCCTCTTTATGGGCTCCCTGAGCTGTGGCATCTAGTAGCTTCTTGTTCCTAGTAAGGCCAGCAGCCCCTAGTAGCGTCCTTGCTCCTAGTAGCGATGCCAGGAGCCCCTAGTAGCTTCTTGTTACTACCATATGACTTCGTAGCAGTCGCTTTCCAGCCCATTCCCAAGAAACTCCACCAGCCAACTCCACTTTCCGCCCGAAGCGAACTGGACATCAAAAAATCAGGGCCGGTCAACCCATCCTGTCCTTGTTCTGCAGTAAGATGGCATACTTGGGATCAAACTCCGTCGCTGAAGTCACTCGACCCACCAACACCATGAAGCAACTGAACTGCTGCGCCCGAGACAGCAAGGACAAGCTGCTCGAGCGTTGTCCGGCAAACTCATGAGCTAGCCATGCGTGAAGGTGCACATTACCAGTAAAGGAGACCTCATGCCGTGTGTGAAAAGTCAATAGTCATCCATTCATCATCTGACATCACCCTGCGATCAACAAACCCCAAGCTTGAATGAAGAACTCCACTCTTGAACCCTGGAGCCTGGAAATCCATTGCAGGTGAATTCCTTCGGGAATTGCTAAACAACCTGTCGGGGTTTCCTTCTTCCGGCCCAAGAAAACACGCCTGTTTGCTGGCCCGGACGAATTGCAATCTAAAAATCCAACAAAGTCCAAAATGAACCCGGTCAAAAAGCAAAAGACAACTCCAAACTATCACCAAGGCTCTTTGGTGGATGCATTCAGCGGGAAGCTCATGCTCTGCCCCTCTCTCGACGAGCAGATGCTGCAGAGGGGTCCCGCCTCACTTGCCCCAAGGCCGGGAGGCGGAGATGGGTCGGAAAACCACTGGCTTTGCAAAGGAAATGGGTCCAACTGGAGCAAGACAATTTGATCATCTGACATGTGTAAAGTCTCACATCCATCTAGAGACAGCAAATCCAGCATGAATATGAAACAAACTTGAGGATCAGGATCGGTCTTTTGAAGAGTATCCTTCTGGTCCTTCCTACAGAAGGATCTGTTTCTCACAAGTAGATCGGATCTTGTTATTCAAAAGGTTATCTGTTTAAAGTGCGTTCACAATTGTAGAAACACGGCATCTGTCATGGTATCTACGCCTACATACCAGCATGATGCCTTATCCAAAATTTTCCGTTATCATACAATGCTATTCTCCTTTGTACAAGTTTAATCTTTGACCAGACCCTGACCATATAAACACAGCATCCAACATTATCCAGAACCGTGCATTATACAAGGCTATTATCCTCGACCGTATAAATGCGTATACCGTATATATGAGTTCGGCGTCCTCTATTAAGGAAGGTCCTTAGTCGGTTAATCGTAACGCCTTAAACCCTTAATTCCTTAACGCCTTCAGGTCTTAATTCATTCAGGCCTTAAAGCCTTATTCCCTTAACGCCTTCAAGCCTTGAGTCCTTAAGGTGATCCCACTAATCTGCCTCTAAGCCCCAGCTAGCCGGGTTTACCCTCAAAGGGTCCCCGGTCCACGTTTCGAGGCTAGACCCCAAACGCATTAGGGAAAACCGTGCTTGCTTCCGTTCACCTCGTTCACCTCACGTGGGATTTCATGGCGATCCGAGCAAATCGTCTGAAAAAACGACGCCAACACCGCACATCTACTCCGCCACAACCAACCACAAGGAACATACACTACCAACCAGATCCAAGGCCCGACACCTGTGGGGGGCTCCTTTGCCTGGACAGGGTAGGTGGGACAAGGACTGTGCCTTCTATCAAGTGCTTTAGTGCCCAACTGAGATCCTTTCGGAAGAATTGGAAAATGAGAGATCCAACAAAAGACCCACCAAGTGGAGATCTCTTTCTGATGAATGTCCAGATCCTAGCGTCCGATAGCGATCCGAGTGATTGTGATTCCACCCAGCGGCTCCTCCCTTCTCTTCGATGCTCAGGGTGCCCTCCGGAGAATGCCGCGGGTCCCGGCGGACCGGAAAGCTGAAGGCCGTGGGCTGAAACGCCTCGCGGAAGAGCTTTCCTCGGGGAGGACCGGAGGACGACTCCACCGTGTGAGCACCACATCGGCGGATGGATGGAGCACCACGGAGCCGTCACTATCTTTGAAAGCGGATCGTGTTGTTTGTTGCTTTACCAGGATAGCAATCCACCGAAAAGGTTTAAGGTTCTTTCACTGAGTAGGTATATGATGGGTATGCAAAGAATACATTTAGATACATTTAGCATGTGCAGGTGAAAGAAAATTCAATTCCATCAACAGCACGTCAAAGCCCACATCCTTGCCCCCCTAGCTTCGATAGTGAAAGCGCATGTAATGGGCAAAATCCACCACTGTGACCTCTTTCCCAATGGCAGCGACCAACTGATCCTGCAGCATCTGTTCCACAAAGTTCAGGCTTCCACACCACTGTTTCACCACCTCCAAGCAATGGAGCAATCCCACTAGCAGAAAAGCCGCCCCTGGTGTGAAGACGCCGCGGTCTTGCACCTGCAAAGGCAGGCCACTTCAAAGTCCCCTCAACCAACTCAATCTTTTGCAAGACCCTTCCGAAAACATATACATCTGACGCAGGGAGAACTCTCTCAAGACATGCCTGCCGCCTGGTCATGAAGAAAAGAACCCTACGTCACTGTGGATCTGCGCTCGGGTCGCTCATTACCCTCCAACAGGTCTCCTCTGGTTGCTTTTGGAGACTTAAAAGTGGTAGGTGGTGACCTATTGGAGGGTGCTGGTATAGATACCTCCACAACATATATATATATGTAGAGCGAGTTCGATTCCAACAGGGACCCAACAAATATTCACTCAGCATGCCTCTACAAAAGTACTCTATTTGCAAATTAAAAACGACCACTCGATGGCGTCTGCCATCCACAGCTTCATGCCCTAGCATCGGCCTCTTCAGCCAAACTCTCCTTCTTCGCGAGCCAGGTTCGCATCTCTTCCTTCAGCAGTCGGTTGCCATCCGCCACCGAGATCACTGGGCCATCTCGATCAGTCTCATTGCAGAGGCACAGAGGCCCTGACATCCAGAGGAAAGGGGTAGAGGCCCGTCCCGCTTTTAGAGTGGAGATGTTTAGGTTATAAAATATATAACACATAAACTGTACTAAGACTAGGTTCTGATGACATAGGATTTATGATGTCTGATGGCTTGGGAAGAGCAGGCGGGTACTCCTTACTCCTTAGTGCGCTACCATCGCAAGAAAACATATATAGGAAAAAACAATGTCCGGCACATGAGCCAGGACTTGGGGATACAGGCTCGAGCATGCTCCGATTGATTCCAGCTATTTTCCCTATCCTTGGGCTGATGAGAAAGGAGATGTTACCCAGCTGCCAGCGCAGTCGTTTCCTGATGAATAAGGAATTGTTGATTTTTGCAAAATGACCACCCTGCCTGATTCCTGAACCTCCTGCAGATCAACGTCTTCCGCATCCGCAAAGAGTGGCAACGCAGGGACGAAAATTGTTTCAGCAGAGAGGTTCGCAGAGCTCGTGAAAGCATCCCGGCGGCTAAGGCTCTCGAGGTATCCTGAGGATGAATGCAATGACTATAGAGTCAGATGATTAAAAATACAAACTGCTGAGAGCGTCGAATCTATAGGTTTTGCCACCCCTCAGAACTCTTGAAGAAAGCCACAAGTAGACACATGCCTATAATTGAGCGAAGATAGCGAAGCTCCCCCATCCACTCTTCGTGCAGTCATCTCCATTCCAATCGACTCCTGACCGCACAGACCGCACCAAGCATCTGGTGACTGACATGAAGAACCGCACCAGATTCTCCAAATACTCGGCGATCGCCGCCGTCTGGGCATTCCTCCGGGGGGTCTTCGTCTTCGGCGAAGACCGGTCAATCTGGAAGATCGGACGGAGACCTCCGTCGTGCTCCTGGTTGGGAAGGAGCGTGAGTGGAGAGGGCCACCAGGGCGGTGGTTCTCAATTCTCTCCGATTCAGGATGTGCCGTTAGAGACCATGTGGTGTTGAATATCCTGGGGGTGAATCTTCATCTATCTATTGATTGAAGATTCCACCTTTATATGGATCATGCCGTGGCCTCCAAAAGTTTGAGGAGCTCCGTGATGCGTACTGATTCACAATGTGCTGGCACATTGGCTGCTGGGCGCGGGGACACCTTGGTCTTATTCTTGAGCTCGGTGCTCTGTGAGTGGCTTTGCAACAAAAGTCGATCTGATGCTTCGGCTCCCACCCCTCGAAGGAGCTCCACCTCGCGGGAACGAAGGGGCTGCGGCTGATGGTCTAACCATTGGTCCCTCCTTGCATCCACTGGACTCAAAGGACCACAAATTCGGTTCCATTCGACGGTGATATCCCATTTAGCCTAAATATGATATTATTGTATATAAATAATATTGTAGCAGTTTGTTGGCCATTTATATATTGTTGCATACAACCTGACATGTTGAGTGGTGTATGTTCACTAGGAAACCTTTGCGAATTATTGGATCTTGTTCAGTCTCTCTCACCTAAAAGAAAGCTTCTGAAAGGCTTCACCAACACCTGCATGAAACTGGCCGGTCGCCTTGTAGGTCACCTCAAAGTTCCAAAAGAACTGTGTCTCTTTGGTGACCGTCTTGCTGGTCAATCCCATGGCATAGCCGACCGAGAACTCGGTCACCGATCTGCTGGCATCTTCGACCTCTCGAGTCTCTTCTCTCAGGAAGCTACATCGCTCCTCTGCCGTGAAGCGAAGGGAGACCTGCCGGAGCCGCGGCAATCCGCCCGCGGCAGATCGGTCAGGTCCCGTCGGGCTGGGGTCTGAAGAGGGGTCTGAACGAGCAAGGGAGTTTTGCGGAGTTTCAACCGAGAAATCAGCCAGAAACAGGATGGCGTGGCAGGTCTGTTGGCAAACAATGGCTAGCAAACTCATTTGTAGCTAGTGCAACATGTGTTCCTTCTAGCAAAATGGCGGTGGAAACTGGAGAAAATCGGAGGACTGTGACTACACAACGTTAAATATATATATATATATATATACTCCTTTAGGGTCTCAATTCTCGACTGCCAATGCGAAAAATGATGGACCTCTGGTGGGAAAATCCTTCTTAATGTCCAACGATCGTTTCTCAAATCTGTTCTATCGCTATCATATAGCCGCCCGGGGAAAGTAAAGTCATGCTGTCAGGCTGTTTCTTGCAATGCCCTAGCTCCAGCTTGCAATCACAAATGAGAAGCTGTTTTGAGCGGCAATTTACCCCCCTCTTGATGACGCGCATGACAAAACTGACTAACAACCATGTGCCAATTCTAGGGATACCATATCCAGTTGAAAAAACTTCAAAGGCTCCAATCTGTTCCAATGGTTCTCCAGATCGTTCTGGGCTCCGCCAAGCCTCTTCACACTGTGAGCGCCTACCCCCACTGTCATTCACCCACCATTCACCCACCTCTGCACGCTCTGCCCAACGCTTCACTTCCATCCATTTCCTGACACGCGGAGCCGCGTCCGAGAAAGCCATCTTAAGGGTCCAGAAGAGAAGACTGCGCCGTCTTGGGACCTGGTGAAAACAGTACAAGTCGTGGTAGATATTCCAGATGTTTATATTAGATGTTTGTGTGACAGGTCCTTCCTCCCCATGTCGATGCTTTCAAGTACAAAAAGAAACCGCGCGCACAGGGGTCCGTCCCAGATTCCGGGCCACGTGGCGACTCCACTGGATCTCGACTGTGTGAACGTTGAACACCCACAGACGCACCCGCACACCCGAAGGAAAAAACCGACTGGCGGTGCTTCTAGGCCCAGAATCTCTTTGTGGAGGCCCAAGATGGCTTCGAAGCAGTTCACCTGCGAAGCTAAGGTCAGCTGCGTCACACGTTCCACCAAGGCGAACTTGTCCTGCCAGGCCGGTGACAGTCGTGGGGACGTGGACGCGGCATCATATGGACGGCCGCTCGGTATTGAACCAGAGACTCAAAAAATGACTGTGCATTTGATTGCATACTGACTGAGATTGGCATGGTATTCTCTGAATCTGGGATACAAAGAATTCGCCTTGGACTACCAGGATTAGATCTCATGTGGAGAGCACCATCCCCTTGTCTGGCAACACTCTCTGATGTGTCATGCTTCTTGACATATAGCTACACTGACATGTACTCTTGGCGACGTGATTTTTAGGGACCTCGCGATGCACAAATTCATCACAAAACCTGTTCGACAGGATGTTTTGTCACGGGGCAGAATTCTACCAACCCTCCTGGAGACTGGAAGTGTTGCGACCATGTGCCAATCTGGCAGCATATGAAACAAGTTTCTCAGTCTCATATTTCACCCGAATCATCGGCCAGTTTGGTTCCCCAGCGACCAGCAGATTGAAACTTGGCGCAAAAAGACTCCTCATAACCATGGTGTGTCTCATTCGGCAGCTGCAGGGATTTCTGGGAGGATAACACCAGCTTGGCTTGCTGCACGGCCCTCCTAAGTTCCCGAACGGATTCCGGCTCTTCACAGATCTTCACAGGGTGGGACAGGTGTTCCGAACTGCAGCCGTTGAGCTGAAAAATCTCTTCGTGAGGATTTTCGGTGAAGATTCGCCATCAGTTCGTCCATCAGTTCGTTCGATGGGAACTCAGTGCTCAACCAGCGTGAAAACGCACCGCGTTTTCCGCGCAGCACCCGGAACGACGGAACGATCCACCGCGCCCGGAACCCAGAAAGCGATTCGTGGACGAACGGGAGAAGATGGAGACCCTTTTTGAGTCGGGAGACGCGCACAAAAGGGTTTGGGTCGCTTTGGTTTGGATCCAAATGCGGCAAAAGATGAACAAAAATGGCCAGGTGGCTGTAACCGGCCCTCGAATTCTGACATCTGCAGCGCAAGCGACATGCTTTGGTCAGGTGGACTAATTGGCTTTGCTTTGCCTTCCAAATGGCTGCAGTTCAAGCCGCACTAAACATGTTTGTGGCAATTGTTGCAGGTATTGCATCTTCCACATCTATGAAAATCTGGTACTGCTCCATCAATCAGGGGTTGTGCTTACAGCGCTTTCTCGCCGCACCTGGATATTGTTATACAACGCGTTAGCATCTTCAGTGGAATGCCCATATGCCCACATGTGTATGAAATGCTACCTCACAAACATGAGATATTCAGAAAGCTGGAAACCAATTAGAGGGACCAACATCTAAGAACTGCACCAAGTCCAACATCCTATTTAAACCATTTTTAACCATTCCCTCCACAGCACTCAGACCGCTCCCTGGACATCGGTGTCCGGGGGGCCGGACTCCAGCTGGCGTCGGAGATCGAGGGCGTTCAGGAACCTCAAGGCGTGACTGGGTGCGACACCGTTCGTGTCCGACACCGAGAGCTCCTGGTGTTTCCCCATCCGGCGTCTACACACGCACGGCACGACACGCACGGCTTGATGCTTAGGGATGGTGGTAACCTGGGTATACACGCAGGCTATTGGGATCCTTAGGGGTCGGTGGAGCCCTGCGATTCGGATTTGTCTGGAGCTGGAACCCCTGCGAACCCATGCGACGAGTTGGTTCACCCATTCAGATTTGTCCGGCTCTGCAGCAACGTTTGCAGACAAGGTGATCAATTGTTGATCATGGTGAGCACTCACCTCTTGTGCGCCAAAAAGAAAGGACCTGGTACGTGCAGGAAGGCACTTAGACTAAAGACCTGTTGGCTTGGGGGGCATCCCTAGTATTTCCAAACTAAAATTCTTATTGATCAAAGTATCACTGCGAAGCGAGGCCGCTCACGAAGCGAGCCGATTCCAAGTTGCTACTGACCTTGCCCCGAAACCCAGATGATAAGACGAGCTAATTAAGGCAAGTCTCGGTTGCATCTCCTGATGATAGCCATTGATCTCCTCTGCGGTGTTGGCCTCGTTGCTTCCAACACCAACACACACACGTTTGTCGCTTATGCGGCAAACCAGGCAAACCGGAACCGAACAGCATGGCAAAGAAAGTGGCGGTGATGGGCTTTGGCCGGAGGGCGGTGCCATGGACACCCCGAGCTATGCGTTGTATGGTGCAGCATTATACTGATGTTCGTGTTGATTCTGTGTCATGTGTGTTGATCGTCACATGGTTTGCGTGATGTTTCATGCTGTTTCTAGTCGAGACTTTGGAAAGCCTCGTCTTTGTATTTGAAGCTTCTTAGTTCTTTTCCCTTGCGCCCGATCATCCGAGAAAAAGGAAACCTGCTGCGCCCTCACATGCGCGCCACTCTGACCGAGTCGACCTTTTTGTCGCTGACGCCCTGCAGGCCCAGAAGGGCCACGTCCTGCACTGCCTGGACGCCAATGGTGACCTCAAATTTCGTGGCCCTGGCCCGGGCCGGACTGGGGGGGTTGGAACCATTTGGAAGGCATTTGGAACGCAGGACACCAGGTCAGGCGACATGCGAGCAAAAGACTCCTGGAAGTCGTGGACTGTGCAGTTTCACTACAGGTCAGGCGCATGGGGTGTTTTGAGGTGCCTTCCAGTTCCAAAGAGGGTGCCAAGGCCTCTACCCCGGCAATGGAAGCCTAATAAGGTAGTCCCTTCGCACGAAGCGGATGGTCCTGGCAGTGGATTCTGAAGAAGACAAGAAAGTACACATCTACTTGAGAGAGGAGGGGGTGAACGAAAGGTAGCAGGCAATCACAAGTAACCCTGGTAGAAGTCCATGACGGCGTGAACCGGCGCAGGGGGGATTTGATCCGGGGGGGGGGGCCCCCCCCCCAACGAACAGAATCAACTCTTACAGGACCAAACTCAATGCACAATCCCAACTCCTGATAGTAATACATTTTTGCTAAAGCAAGGAGAACTCAGGTAGCTCAAGCTACCTTTCGTGATATAGAGCTACAAGCGTATCTGACACATACTACACTTGGCATGCCCATGCCAAAGCCCAGGATGATGCCGAAGTGGCTTGGTGTAACCGTGTGGTTGACACATGTTAGCATGTTAGCACTATATAGATCTATAAGTCATGTTCCACTACTAGACTACTGTCCCACATCTGAACATGGACAGCAGCTAGTCCTTAACCAAGTCATCCGAGTGGCTGATGTCCACAGATCTCTCCTTTGGCACCGCAGATCGCATGCGGATGCCTGGGCCCTCATGCTGGGTCCAGCTTTGACCAGACCCCGTGTTGGGCAGAGGACCTTCGACCGGTGGTATTTGGACCCGAATGAATTTGAGGGCACAACATGTAGACATGTTCCACTAGATTGTGTTGTTCCTTTTACCGTTGGACGCGCCGGAGACACCTAGAACTGTCTGCCCTCCAGGGGGTCGCTTCATCAACACCTGCCACCATCTATTTGAAGGCATGCACAAGTTTGCACAGGAAATTGACAACTTACATCAGCTTACAACAACAGATATAGAATGACCACACCACCAAGTTCCAACAGTTCCAACAGATTGCCAATGGTCACCAGCTGCAACTGTCAAGTCCCCCTTGCTGTACCCCATCTCCCCGTCCTTTCACAGGCCGCTAAAACCTCCAGCTCTGCCGCACCCCCCACGCGTGGCCGCACATGCCTGGGCCCCCAAGTGCTGTCGGCGCCAGAAAGGGGCCACACTTGAAACATTGGAGCATGTTGAAGGTGATTCCTTGAACAAAAAACAAATGCACCGAAAGCCATTTACATCCAAGGTGTCCAGTGATGTCATTTGGATGTTGCACCGATTCTGCTAAGTGGGGAAGTTCATACTGGGGAAAAATTCGGTGAAACACTGTTTTTCAACGTGGCAAAACGCCAGAATCTTCGGAGGTCTGGTACTCTTCTTGATCTAGGGGCCCAAAGTCTCTAGGTTTACAAACACCAAAAGCCAAGTTGTGAGGCAGCCAAGTTGTATTTTCAATCAAACGGGATGCTTTAAATTGCTCTAATGTCAGCATCACCAAACACCCCGCCAAGCAAGCAAAAGCATGCGCCCCTAAAAACTGAATCCTTTCAGGTATGTGAACCACCAACCAATTGATGTCTTTAAATGTGTTCGCATGCTTTAGATTTTTTGAGCAACTTCTGATGGCTCTCCTCACGCCCACAGCCAGCGGCCCAGGCACATCGCCAGCTGCCATGCACTCCCGGCCGCGGCGCTGGCCACTGCGCTGTTCTGGAGCCGTTCATGCGGCTGGATCCTCACGGCCGGGAGACATGGCGCGCCCATCTGGGCAGATGTCCCATGGAAATCGGCCGTGTGACGTTCACCTTAAGTTTAAGTTGAAATGAGAGATCCCACATCTCCTTATATGATCGCGATTAGGGAAAAAAAACTATGATCATAAGTTCTTGATGTTCTTGAGAGGCAATTCTGGTGGGAAACCTGATTGGTTCATCAGGCAACATGCTGGGGCTTGCTACAACTCATACTAAACCAAAACCAGAGTAGGCCACGACTAAAGTAATGGTGTAGGCGACCAGCGATCCAGATCGAATGGACTTACACTCAACTGCCCCCTTCATCCTTTGCCCCCGACTCTCACACCAGTAGCCATGCGTAGCCCCAACCACGGACAACGCTCAAGATGGACGTGCTGTGGACATCTAGCGAGTTGGGGGCAGTCTCTATCCAAGGCTTTGTGTTCACTGGAGTTGCTCCGAGTGACAAAGTGTATTAGTCTCACTAGTCACTAGTCACTTCCAAAAGTGCCCAGTTACCAGTTAAATGGCAATTTCCCGAAGCGTAAACTTGGGGGCCAGGGCTCTGGTCTCAGTCAACAGCAACTGCTCAGTCCCTCGCCAACTGTTTTGGCTTCTCGCAGGGTCCTTGCCAGTGGCGAACTGCACAACAGCCAAATGGCACGAGTCCATGCAGGAATCGCATTCCTTGGAATGCTCATTTGGCGCACGGGGTCCACGAAATGGAAGCTGCTGCACAAACCGGGAACAAAACTGAAATATGCATCAATCACATATGTATCTGCTGCCATGTCACATCGCAGACACAAAACCTCGTTGGAAGGAGTGGACGAGGTTGCGAATCATGGGTTGGTAATTCATTGTAATTTCTGATCAACGAGTACATCTAAGTGTAATGTTGATTGTTGATCAGCAAACCGCCCATATAGAGATGTTGGGCCATACAATAAATTAAGGTGCTTGATTCACCAACCGTCAGCATGATCATCACCTCAAGCGCTCAAAAACTACTCTGTCGGAAGGCTGTGGATGTGGAAGTGATCTTATCTTCCTCTACCCGATGGGGACGATGTTTGTTTGGGCCAAGGGTTGATGGGGACGACCTCTTCCACGCACCTCTACCGTCCAGTTTGTCTTCAAAGGAACCGTCAAATATATGTCTAAGGTTCCAACCTGTCCTCTTCTCAAGGGATATGGTTCTTTCCATCTTCCGCTCACGGACCAACGTCGACTCTAAATCGAACTTGAAAACCCCTGGATTCTCTTGACTGAAAGTTTATATAAACCACTAGCATCCACGAGCTATAAACCACCTGATCTCGATCGCACACCGTGTCACTCATCTCATCCGCAGGCTCCGCAGGCTCAGGCAGCAGTCTCAATGCCCAGCGCCACTGTGCTTCCCTGGCCCGGCCCCACTGCCGTGGCGTGTGTCCAACAGTCACTGTCTGAGGGGTCAAGATTTATCTCAAAGCGAGTAAGCCGCCTATGTAATCCACTTTTTTGTGGTTTCTCTTCAAAAGGAGTGTACAGTACCCTTTGCCCCATCTGTCTTTGGATCAACAAATTCCTCAAAGAGGCTCCCTGGCACTGCCTGGCGCCCAAGCCTCAGGATCGTCTCTATCCACTCTTGCGCCAGATTAAAATTGCCCAGAATAATTGAACCCTTACAGCAAATATCCAGCATTCGCTTGGCACAACCTAAGTTTCTGAGCATCACACTTCAGATTTTGAGCAATTCGTGTCACAGTTTCACGCACTCGCTCCGCACTGCGTTGCCGCTCCGAGCGCCCTTTGTGCGCCCTTTGGGCGCTTTGCGCGCATGGGACAGGCCTTTGGTCCAGGAGTTGGGGAGAGTAAGGTTTCACAAATGCTTGGATTATGGGGGATTGGGCCTGGGAGAATGCATGTCACCGGAAATGGAAAACGATGTGAACACCAACCAACCGAGGTACCGCTGTGCTCAGAAGTGCCATCGCCGCAGCTGCTCATGATTTCGTCTCGTCTTTCTAGTTCAGCAAAGGTCTGTTGTGGTTGGATCTCTTTGATTCAGCCCCAAATATAGTATAGACGGTTGATTAACCAAGAGCAAAAACCCCTCATATGGAGATTCATCAGCCGTCTTTCAGTTGCAAGTTGCAAGGTAAGATTTCTAGATTGGGCCTTCAAGAATGACCACAAAGCTTCCAGGTCAGGGATGTTTGTTGGATTTTGGTTGACTGACTCTATCATTACAGAGAGGTTCTTTCTTTGGACGCATCTTCTTCTCTTACTTTGAGGAGGTTGGCACTCCGCAACTCCTCGCACCTGCTAGTCTATGATGAAAAGCACATTCTACTCTCACGCCTTCCGCATGAGGCCTGGGAAAGAGGCAAGGATGGGTGGACAACGGTGGCGAAGACGCATGGATTTATGGGTCCAAACAGAGTACAAACAGGAATCCATGGTGGACATGCCGCAATTGCTGGGGCACATTGCGTTTACAGATCTATTCAGGTGCCGTAGCCAACTGGATAGTCTGGGGGATGTACTATTCTGACTCTTGTATGGTTTGTTTGTGACTTTTTTGACCCGCAATCTGATCAGCCATTGATTCTTATGGGGATGGGGGTTGAGCACAAAACGACCCCAGACATGAGCTGTAATGTGCAAAAAGAATGACAAGGTGGGTCCTGACTCGGTCCTGACAGTGTAGTCGCTCAGACCAACGGTTGGGCAAACATCTGAACGGTGGAGACCAGGATGCTGCTTGGTTGGGAAATGACAGCGAACGTTCATAGGATAGCCGAAAGGTGTTTCTGTTGGTGGCATGGAATCGGAGGTCCAAAAATTGGCTCAAACCTTACGCAGAAGGCTCCTAAATGTTCCCCTTCTCCAAACCTAATAGCGATGGCCTCCACCCTAATAGCGATGCCCTCCAACCTAATAGCAAAAGGAAGTTACGCAGGTTTGGCTCCCAAATGTTCCCCTTCTTCATGTCACCAATTGAGGAGCCTTCCCCTTCTTCGTGACCCTTCCCCGACACATCGCACCAGGCGTTGTGGCCGCGGCGCGGCGCCGGTTTCGGTCTCCGCGTTGACCACCGAGTTCGTCGCACACGCCTAGCCGCGGGGCGCGCGGGGCACACGTCGCCTGCCAAAATATACGTGGAATGATCGGGACCTCAGATTCTTCGATCCCCGTGATGGTGAGTTTGGCTCCACCAAATGGGGATCGCAAACGGCTGGCTTGCGCCGGTCCCTCATTTTCGGACAGCCTCGTGTGAAAAAGAAACTTGGTATGACTTGAAACATGGATGTTACTCAATGAACTCAATTGTTTGGAACCAGAAAGCCCATTACTCAATGATCCAAGGTCCAGACTCGGATGATGCAGATTTGCCCTCTGGAACCTCTTCATGGAAAAAACGTTTGCGGCATCGCACTTCAAAGCTGGCGGAGATTGATGAAGGCACACACAAACCTCCCATCACTCACTTCCATCGAAGGTCCAGGTTTTCAGTAAGAGGGGCCAGCTGCGAAGGAAACCGGGGGGATGTGTCATGATGTTTCTTTGGCTGTTGCACACTGTTGACCTAGCATGCCCCCATGCCAGGCGCATGCTCCTGCCCTCCAGAATCCTCAAACAGAATGGCACACAACTCCCATACCGCGCCATACCGCGCCGTACCGCACCATACCGCACCAGAAGCCACGCTCCCTTTTCCGCGACGGACGGTTCTCGCCCACGTGTGGTCGGGCGTGCCGCCGGCCCGACTCTGGCCCACAGTCACTTGAATGTCAGAGGTCTGGGTCAGCTGAAGACTTTGCAGTTACCAGGATATTGGCCAATGGCGTGCGAACTCTCGATGAGGCGGCTTTGGGGGCGATCTAAAGCTTGTGGCAAAACCCTGCACAACCTGCAACCATGTATAGAGTACGTAGTGGAAAGTGACAGTTGATCGTCTAGTTCCGGTTTGTTAATCAGTGTCACTATTCTTCAGTGCACTACTCTTTGACCGTCTTTGTCCTGCTGCTGGGATCAAAGTCACCTTCATCTTTCACTCATGGTCATTAATTCTCAGTTTCAGTAATGTTGTGCAAATGGACCAGGGCTGGACAAGCGTGCTTGGCTCAGTAGGGCTTGTAGCGTCCGCCTTCGGGCCTTTCCTTCCTCCGGCTGTTGATATCCTGTCGAACGACGAGCCGGTTCACAGGACAAAGCTTAGATCTGTATGCGTACACAAAAAATGTTCCTTCACCCCGGAAGCCTTGGCCCATCGCGGCTTCCCCTGGGACCTGGAAAATGATGGTGTTGCCCGATCCAAGCAAAGTATTATATAAGGTTTTTTCCAAGATGGTGGTGAGAACAGTAGGCAATAAAGAGGTTTGGCAATACTATCGATACTTACTTGCAAGTAATCAAGTTAGAGGTATAAAGCAAGTATTTCTAAACACGAGTGGAACCCCCAAAGTGGCTTGGCCTTTAAAGCACCAAACTACACTCCATTGTTACCGACCCGTGCCAAATAAATCGTAGATGGTCTCAGAATGAATCGCAATGAGGAAAAAGCCATCTACCGATTTGTCTGAAGGCGGGAAGGCAGGGGTAGTATTCGTCAGACCCCGGTCCTTGATCTTGGCCAGTAGGGCAGAGGAGGGGTTCCGCGCACCGTCCAGGCCCCGTTCCAGAACTTGTTCCTGGACCTGCGAACAAACACGAGACCGGAGCACGGTGATCTCCCTCCAAACACAGCAATGGACCGGATTGAGCGACCACCAGGAAGACCGCAGGGTAGAAAAACGCTGGCGAGGTCTAGTGAGTCTTGTGTATGTACATATTCTGTTCTGTATATATATATATATATGTATCATATATCCAATTTCCTGCAACAATGGGTGATGATGGTTTCTGTTTTACAGGCCTTTCTCTAAAATAGTGATATATAATCGTCTATATACCGACTCTTGTGATGAAATCGGACACCCCCTGTAGCTGATAGTGTTTGTCTGATCATCCAATGAGACCTGGACTACAAACGATGTCGAACAAGACTTCAAAACAGCAGAGGTCGAAACCACCCAGATATTCGGCCAGCTGGTTCGATTCAATCAGCCACCTCAAGGGTTTTGAGAAAGTCCGACAGTTCCTCTGGAGGCATCTTTCAGGTGCAACACCCAAAGAATAATGATAGGGCCACACATTCACCCCATGTCCACCCAAACGCGTCGACGGTTGGCAACGGTTGACAAACCGCTCATCGTCTCATCGCCTCGGGAGAACATCGTCTCATCGCCTCACAGGCCATGGTGTCCACCCCGTAGCGTTGCAAGTAGTCCTCCAGGGTGGTCGAAGGGAGCTGGGACCCGTTGGTTGGCGTCGTGGTCCCTCCAGATGAAAGAAAGGAAACCATGAAAAGCCAATTGAAACCATACTGTAGACGAGATCCAACTGTAGAACACTCTAGGACTCTAGGATATCTAATTAGATAAGGGTCTTCAACCTCTATATAACTGCCTTTCAATTCTTCAACCTTCCACCACCTCTCCTCCACCTCATCTGCTAAGGACCTCCCCCGTGACGCCGGAGGCGCCACTTGCCCAATCGGCCCGGCACCGATGGGCACCGCGACCGTCCCGCGCTCCGTCCGCCGCGCACCGTCCCAGGGCGCCGACGGACTGTCCCGGTGTCCGCCGCGTCCGGCTCCGTCGCGCAGCCGTTGCGTCATGTCCCGGATCCTGGGCGCGGAAGCAGAAGAGCGGAAGAATAACAGAATCCAAGGTCAAACATGACCTTGCAAACGAGTACAAATACGGGATAGCAAAGTTTTTTGCATGGGTGATGTGGCATTCAATCTGCTCGGCGAACCAGTGCCGGAACGGCGGCATAAGGGCTACAAGCATCTAGAGACCTGATGGAGCTCTAGATCTTTTAAACCATCGACTGTGGAACCAGTCAATACCTTTAACTTTAACTTGAAAAAAAGACATGAAACATCAGAGTTCTTTGCTTTTTTGCTCCAAACTCCCTGGTTCCATTCTGTCATTCCAGGTGGCCGTGCTAGAAGAGCGGACGAGGCATTGCGGGCACCGTCTAAGCCCCTTTCCATGACCGCCTCCTGCACCTCGGCCGAACACCTTCGCAAGGCATCACATCCCATGGCGTCCACGGAGTAGCGCATCAGGTACCTGATAGCGTAGTGTCTCAGTCTCCCTAGTTAATAGCATACTGTCAAGTAGAGAAAGATGATGAAACCTCCAAACAGTATGTGTTTTTCGCCTTTGGTGGTTTATCCAAATCGCTCTTGCAGGTTTTGGCCCAAATTCCTGACATTCACGACCGCCGCTCTTTACTAAATTAGTCATCGCATGTTTCAACGGTTGTTCATGTATAAATGTGGACTTATGTCATTTCACCTAATTCCT